TCCATGAAGATTCCTGAGGTTCTTGTACGCTTGCTATACGATTATACACAAATTTATTGGAACAATTTATTTTGCAACAGAAAATAATTATTAATAAGTACAAATAAAATTCAGTACTTGACTGTCTAAAACAGCATCTGGATTCGTTAAATGAGTATTCGCATGGATCCACGAAAATTATAAATGATTAGAAAAGTACTTGGTTGATGGCAATGTAAGAAGTAAATTTTGACCAGTTTTTCCAGGGGTTATAAACTGAGCGATACCAGAATAACTGATATAAATAAGTATTTCTAGATAAAATAGCTCTGTATGTGTTTATACCATCTTTAAGGTTCTTGCCTCAGAATTTATTGTAGTTAAACGAACGCCTGCTTGATTATTAGAGCTTGCATTCGACATCTAAAATGTCTTAGATGTACTGTACGTAAGTAAGAAACATAACAGAATCGAATAATATGTTAAGTAAATAAGGCATAAAAATAAAACACTTCACTGATGGTTAACAGTTACGAGGGTAAATGAAACACATTTTCAGATATTATTTTAAGTCATTGTTTATAAGCGAAAGGCATTTTATTTCTTTATTTTCGCTTAAATACTTAGGTATACGTATGTGTATAAACTAGTTATTTAAGAGTTAGTCGTTTCCAGTCTGCACAGCTCCGGAAAATGTAATATAATTTTTAATCAAATTATTAGGCTTTTTTACTTCTTTAAAAGTATAACATATAACCGTAATGCAAACATATTTTTTTATCTATATTAGCAACGATCTAAACAAATTAGAAAGAAGGATTTAGTGCGATTTTGAAATAATTGTAAACAAGTTAGAAAGAAGGATTTAATCCGGTTTTCATACAATTGTACTAACTCATTTAAGGTAAGAAATTTCAAAACCGAAAATGCAAGCACACGTATTTCTGCACATTATCAAACTTAAACGAACATCCAGAAAGGGATATTCGCGTCATGTATATAATAACATATAAAATGTGTATCATGAATTTCAGATATGATAATTCATACCAAATACTCTGCCGAAAACACTAATTAAATACACTGCTAAACAATAAAATTATCCTGCACATTATTTGCTTCCATTACGTAAATAATTATACGTGATTTAATTATTTACTGTACTGAAGTTTGTTACGTCGCTTTAAATAACTGTATTTTGTCTTGCGATACGAAAAAAATCTTGTATTTGGAACTATAATCGGGAATTTCGGTGAATTCTACTTCTGCAAAATATCTCTAAAAACATTGCGAATAAAGAAAAATACCTCAAAACTGCTATTGACAGTGGTAAGAGAAAGCTTTGCAGAAGAACAGCGAAAAAAGGTAAGGCACTTACGTATGTGGATGATGTGGTTGCTGCCAAAGTTGCGAAGTTAGAAGTGGGTATCACGCTTCGCTATATATGTCGGACACCCGATTGTACTACTTAGTGAGGTCGTTGTACCAGCTCTAACCACTGGTAGGTGTCACTGTTGTCGAACTGACCCATTTCCGAACCCTTTCGGAAAGAGTGAATCGGTCAGGAAGGTGCTTTGCAAGGCCATTGCGTCACCTCCCATGTAACTTTTGCTTCGCTTGCCATTGGACAGTTTTAGGGAAAGGATTATTAGATCGCTCGCCGCTGCTTATACTGTGTCAGTGCCGTCTGAAAAGGAAAGGAAAGAAAAACAAGTCCTGCTTAGGGTAGGTTTCGTAAAACGAATCTCTTGAACGTTCTTCCGATGTTCTCATCGATTCTTCTTACTCACGCAAGAATAAATAAATAAATAAACAAAGAGCACCATATCCCTAAATACATCATTGCAAGGAAAATGGAACGAGCTCAATGATTTGATGCATTTCTCTCGAAAAGAATAGGTTGAATGATATTTAACAAAAGCTTATTAGCTTGAGTGGATACCGCAGTTAAATGTAGTAATCATTTCTGAATCACCTGCCTGGATACTATAGGGTCTAATTCTTCCTTTAAATGGGTACTGAAAATAAGTATCTATTTTACGTTTATTTACATTTTTTTAATTTAATCATTAGTAGACTGTTTATAATACTTTTATTCCATGAAATTTTATATCTATGAAATAAACGTCGACAGAGTTAACAATTAAGTATAAATTCGGAATATAAACAGTGTTCTTTCCATATTCTGTCTGCGTCCTTTAGAAGGTGCTGCGAATAACCTTTTGTTTTGTTTCATGTGCTGGTACTTACTAGTCTAAAAACGGCTTCATACTCTTTAAAGGACAGTTCTAGCTGTTCGTCATCTGTTTTATGAGCAGGAATTTACCTTCCACTCAAAGTTGTATCGCAGTGACGTTCATATTCATTTACAGTAAAATTCCCATTCATCTTAATTTGAAATACAGTAAGATAATAACATCAACAAAGCATCGAGCTTTTCGTCATCTAGAGAACAGGATGATCGAATCCTCTATTTCCTGGCACTAAGATAAATTTGTTTACGTTATAGCTGAAAGAGAGATCTATACGTTTGTGATGAAGAATTCGGTGATCAGTTTGTTTCGAAGGCGTTGAAGTAAATCGAATGCTTTAAATCATAGTAAATTTGTAAGCATTTTTCATTTAAAAAAATCCTGATTTGTATTCCAAAAGCAGCTCAAAAGTAATAGATTGTTAAGGTATGTCTACTTAACATTTAATATTTAAAGGACTCATTATTTCGAAAACTTTCTTCTTTTTAAAATGTAAATTTCTAGTTTCCCAAACTTACCATTCCTTCAAAGGTTTGATTTTTGCAGTTCTAGAGATTGATTTATAAGTTTCATGCATTCCAACTATACAATTTAAGAAATTCGGAAAGCAGCAAATAAATTATGTTCGAGTAAAATCCGGGAAATCAGACTTTAACAGTGGTATCTGTCAATCCGACACAAAGGAATAACAAAAGTTTAACGTGTGTATGCCAATTGAAGGGGTAATCAGCCATCTAACTTTTATCTAGTTTAACAATGTACTGTAAAAAAAAGTTGCTTTAACCCTGTGTGAATTAGAGCATGATCACCTGTCTTTTACCGTTAAAGGTTTGCGAAATTTCTAAATTATCGCAAGTGAACTAATAAAAGAATGACGTATTTCGTTGAGTCAGTAATGAAAAGGTAGCTTTTGAAGTAACAGCAGAAGTAATTATTAAGTTCAAAGGAAGAATTAACGAATTAATTAATTTCAATTAACGTTTGTATTCCAGCCGAGTGAAGAAAGATGCGAAATTTTTGTTTTTATTGCTTCGTAAATATATTTGCAACATTTTAAATATGTATAATTTATGTTTAAAAATCTAATTCAGATTTATGCCTTAAGAAATTTTAGGTTTCCTCTTGATTAATTCGTTTAATTTTATGGGCCTTAATTTTGCATTGTGATGACACTATAATAGCCCTTCTAGTATACGGTTCTCGTAAAAAAAGGTACGTTAATAAATTCATATGTATTCAACTCCGGGTTAATCGTTAACCGAGATAACAGCGAGGACAATGTCAACTGTTAATTCAAATTCACAGTTAATGAGAGAATTAAAAAAAAGTTCGAAAAGAAGGCATAATCCATATTATAATTAGTAGAAAAATTCTGTTAACAATTAGACTATATTTTCAAGCAGTTTTAGAGAGGGAGTACGTTTACCTGCATACAAAAATTAAATTAATTTTCAAAATAGAAATAACACACTGTAAATAAAGGAAGAATACGTATCTAAGTTATAAATGGCATTAAAGAGCAATAATTAGATTGAATTTTGTCATTAAACTCATATTCTCATTAAAAGTGCCTGAGAGGAATTTTTTGCTTTCTGACAGAGTTTACCTGACATACATCATCTACTAACACAACTGTTACACCACGCATTTTCCTTTTCAATTTTATATTTTCCGTAGTCAGTTTCGTTTTACGCCGATAGTTTGTAATTGCAATTTTTTCATAATGACACTTACATATTTGCACTATTTAAGTTCCTCGAAATTTTATGAAAGTAATTTCCTTTTAAATCAAGTATCATTAATAATTTGAAATTTAGAAGGTCATTTTATTATATTAAAATATTGCTTTATTTCGTAAGCTGCGCGTTCGTAGCTGTTTAATTTGCTTAACTAGCATTTATAGTAGTAATATATCTTCGAAAAAGTGCATAATTTTATGCAAACTGACTAAACTCTTAGAATGCGGAGAATTCTGTAGCACAAAATTTTACCTTTTTATGTGATCCTCGGTAGAGCAAAATTTGAGTCCAAAAAGACCATTCTTTATATCTTCAGAAGCTAAAAACGGTTCCTAACATTTGGATACAAAATTCGAAACATCTGAGTGCAAAGGTTTTATTTAGGTCATCTTTTAACACTAGTACTTAATCTATCTTAAGTTCAGCTCACCTGATAGTTTTTCTAAATTTTCGTAAGTTGTTATTTATAACAGTAATCAGCTTACACACAGACAGAATTAAACATTTTATTTTTCCACTCCTGATGGATTACAACTAAAGGATCGATAACTTATCAGAAATAACTTGTAAGAATCAGATAACTGGTCCTTTTGCATACACCCTCGTGTACAAACTTTTCTTTTCATACCCCAAAATAATAATAGTCCAAAAAACAGCCAGTCGATGTAATAAATTATTGCATGAATGTGTGAAAGGCAAGTCTAATTAGCCTCATCCAAACAAAAGTGACCAAAAAGTTCCTGATATGCAAATCAAAGCATTACGTCATCTGACTGTGAATAAAGCGCTTTGCGCAAAATGAATATCTGAGTGAGTTTCTGCAATATAGCGTTTGATTTAGGTGTGTAATTCAAAACCATTTGTTATCGTCGTTTAGAAACAAAATAGACATCCATAGAAGTAGTGAGATTTGTGAATATTTCCAGACAGATAGTCGCTGTGCTATTGAAACAATTTAAGAACTCTGGAACTGTTGTAAACAGGCCTGGACATAAACAGATATCAACTGCTCCTCAGAATCGCTATCTGGCAATAACTGCCCTCCGTAATAGAAGTTTTATGCTCGGCATTTATGTTCAGATCTTCCAACCACCACTGGAACTGTTGTATCACTGCCAATTGTAATTACATCACTACAAACAGAAAGCTTAACAAAAAAGCCTTTATGGCAGAAAGCCAAGGGTGTGTGTTTCGCTGTCTTCAAGAGGGATCGCTTTAATTAATGCAAAGAACATCAATATTGGAGCGAACATTAGTGGCCCCATGTTCGCTTTGCTGATGAGTGGAAGTTTTTAATTTAACATCTGATTCTAAATCTGGAATTTACATCTAGAAGGAGCAACGCGAAATCTTCTTTCGAACGTTATGGAACGTGACTATTTTGGTAGTGCAGATTCGCTGGTATTTGGAGAAATAATGGTCGATGGAAATATACTAATACACGTTTTTAACAGTGGATCTGCCACCATCTAGAGGTATCGGGATGAGATCTCAGTGTGTTTATAGATCTGACTTTTTATTTATGAAAAATAATGCACGTCCACATTTAAAAAACACTTTGACAAGTATCTTGAAAGCGAATACTGTGGCCAGCAAAATCTTCTAATCTTAACCTGATAGAGAATTTAAATACAATTACCTTGAAAAAGTAGTTGCACGGATACATCCTCTTCCTGAAGATGTTAGTGCATTGAAGACTACATTGCTGGAGAAGATGAACTTAATTCATCGAACTCTGGTTAACAGCGTTATTGCCAGCATGAAAACACATAATGATAAGTGTGTACAAGTTAGGTGAGATCACATTCCATATTAAATTTATAAGTTTTAATTCTTTTTCTGAACTCTTTTCGTAACATATTACTACCATTTTTATGGTTTCGTGCTACAGTTTTATATAATATGAAGTGCTCTTATAACTTTTGTTTTGTATTTATGTGTTATGCATCATGCCATACAAATTCATAAAATTACAGTTCACAGTTTTTGAGCAATTAGTCACTTCGTGCATGTAAAGATAATGCTGGACGAGTGTGTATATCACTATTTGAAAGTCAGAATGCTAATTAATAGTCTAGGCTTGATCTTTCTCTAACTAACTGCAAAAGAGGCTCATTAATCACCTAGGACGACAACATAATACGATGCGGCCTACCACCCAATGCCCCTCGTATTTTCTTTCCAAATGCATTTAGTGGGAGTAGAGCTACCATAATCAGTAGACAAACAAGGTTAGGCTCTTCCCAATGCTAACGTGACAGAAGTGAGAAAAATAGAGACATAAACGGAGTATGGAAGAAGTCTCTTTTGAGTAGATTAGGAGTTAGTGAGGTAAAGCAAAAGCAAAGCATGCAGTATAGTAACAATGGGGAAGTCATTTGTTAACAACAAAGAAGTACTTTGAACAAAGGGAAATGAGTTGCAGTTAATTTTCATTAGTATTTAAACTTCTTTCCTGCGCTTTAAACATCACAAGCTTGCGGTATGAGCAAATACACTCATGTCCATGAATTAAGGATAATGCAAAATCAGGCAAAGGAAGAGTTAGAAGCAAAACAAATTTGACTTATTTGTAAAGCTTATTTATTAAACAAAAGATAAAGAGCAAAAAAAGATGCTATATGTTTGATATTATTACAATTGATATTATTACAACCAATATTACATGGTTGGTATGATTGTTAATACAATGTATGTCTCCCAGAGATGCAATACAGTCCGTACAACGCCTAGACATGCTGAGTATCAAATTATCGATCTGATCTTGGGGGATATTACACCACTCAAAAAGCAATGCTCTCCGAAGTTCCGGTAGACAACTACGAGGAGGTTGACGGGCTGCAACTCGTCGGCCAAGCATGTCCCACACGTGCTCTATTGGATTCAAGTCCGGTGAGAATGCTGGCATGTCCATACGGGTGATATCCTCCGATTGAAGGCATTCGCTTACGATGTTTGCACGGTGAGGACGGGCGTTGTCATCCATAAACACAAATTGTGCGCCCATGGCGCCCCGAAACAAACGTACATGTTGTTCCAGAATGACGTCCCGATATATTTGGCTTTTCATGGTTACAATTTGAACATGTAGGTCAGTTCTGGAACCCAGAATAATTCCACCCCGAACGAGCACTCCTGCACCACCGTAACGGTGTCGTTCAATGATGTTTTCTTGGTGGTAACGGGTACCTGGAGCTCTCCATATGAAAGTCCGGCGAGAATCAGACTGCAAGCTAAACCTGGACTCGTCGGAAAACATCACACAAGCCCACTGTTGCGGTGTCCACAATGCATGCTCTCTACTCCAGGCGACAGTGAGTTGCGGTAAGTGGAACGCATCTGACAGGTCTACGAGCATATAGACCAATCTGCCCTAAGCGTCTGTACACGGTCTGCCTTGAAATTGTCGTACCAGTGCCTGAAGAGAGCTGACGAGACAGGTCTGAGGCTATGCTCCGCCTGTTTCTTTTCGCAGTAACTGCCAAATACCGGTCCTTATTCGGTGTTGTAACTTTGGGGCGACCTGTGCTGTAAAGTCTACTCACATTAACATCATCTTGGAATCGTTGCCAAAGCCTGGAGATGACACTTTGTGCAATTCCAAAGTCGTCTGATACTTCCAGTTGGGTACGCCCACATTCCAGACGCCGATTAATTAATTCTACCACGTCAAAAATCAACCAAATGCCTCCTTTGTGTCATAACTATTCGGTTATTGCACTGAAGTGCTTATAAAGCGCCTGCGAACAATTTTACTTCTTTGCCTGTATTCCTTATATATCACTCTCTTACACTCTCGTCTTTGTGACGTACCATCGGTGTCATCTGGATACTTCCTGAAATTTGCATATGATTCTTGAAGATGTGTGTAGTGATTTTACAGGTGATATATTTATTTTAGAGTTCGATTTCCGCGTGACTACGAATTATCCTTAATTTAATGACGTGAGTGTATATGTGAGATGAATCAAAGGGAAGGCAAAAAAGTAGACTAGAAGAGAAACACGCTAATGTGACAATCAAAATCGTAAAAACAACCTTGTATTTAGCGTAAGTATATTGAAACACTCAATCGATTTCGAGGGCAGCTAAAGGTCGCTCCTCATCATGAGAAAGAAATGCCTAGAAAGAAGAAAAATAAAGGGGAAGGAGTCTCAGAAACACGTGGTCCTTATCAGCATTTATTTATAACACTGCAGAGTTCAATTACGACGTGAAATGTAGAATTGAATTCGCAATAAAACCGCATACTTTTATTTAATGTGTGTGGGATTATGGCAAAGCCTCGAGGGCTATCTGCCTAAAGGGAGGGATGCCTTTCGTGGAGGACTTTCTAAGGGAAACTGGCTCGTATACACGATACACATGGGGAAAACCACGAAAACGCCCATGCAGCCAGCCCGTTCGCGGGATTCGAACCTCGACCGAACTACCAGTGTTCAGCGACTTTACCGCTCGGCCGCTGGTGGGCCTCGCCTTGAATGCGTATTCCAAATAAGGACTTAAACTGTTTTCAATTAGTTTAATTAATTAGTCAATTAGTTTCAATTAGTTGCCCCATATTCTTCGCTTTTTAACTTTTCACGGACAATTTATGAAAGAATTATAAAACAGCATTTTTTACAAAGATACGTTGCTTACGAAATTTTAAAAGATTTAAAATGCAAACATTTGAAAGAATTTAAATCTGAAAAAATAATCATTTGAGATTAAATGTTTCATTCAAACTGATCCGCAAGAGTCTACAGTAATAGTTAATTAAAATCAATATTTTGTTATCACCTGTGATATTCATAATTAAATCTTTGTTAATCAGTGATAAGCAAATAATAATGGTTATTACAATATCAGAAATCTAAGTGTTTCGTAATTTTAAACCGAAAAACTGCAAAGTTCAATTATGACGTGAAAGCAGAGGTCAGATACATTACTGCGTAACATTATATTTTATATTTGCGCATATTTCAGAAGGCAGAATGTGACCAAATTGCTTTGTAATTAAAATATTTCCGTTATAAGAGATTAATTAAAATTAGGTTTTGAAATTTTTGAGGAAAAGAAAAGAGATTAATTCAGATTAGTTTTTGAAATTTTTGAAGAAATGAAAAATGTTTCTTTTCCTTTACAGAAGTAAATAAAAACTGAAAAAATACCTCTGCATTGCAGAGTTTAAATCTGTTTGATAATCGGCATACTGCAGAGTTAATTAAACAAACGTGGTTAAGGTAAAATAGTTCAACTCTACTCTTGTATGAGGTTATAGTTAACGGAAGAAGGCACATTTAAATTTTATTCATTTAAGTCGTCTTTTTAATACGTATTCCATTCTAGTATGGGCCAAATGATTTCAGCACATATTACAGAAAAATAAGCAGAATTAACTTAAAATTTATGTTTGAGAAAGTAAACGATTTAGCGTTATTTCGAATGCCTGATTCAGAATCCAAAGGCGAGTAATTGTCAAAGAAACAGAACCTGTAACTGACAAATTTGTTAAAGATCCTCCATTGTTAAAAAAAATTATAATATTTGGTTTCCAGTATAAAAAAGGCTTAAAGTCAAGACAGAGCAGATAAAGAGTTACAGATTGAGAGAGAGGTTATCCAGCGGCGAATACGTTTACATGTGGAGATATCTGGTGATACATCTAATAAATAACCTTGCTGCTGGTGGTTAGCAGAGAGAAACAGTTTAGTTCGAATAGAAGCTACTATACTCATAAACGGTACGTTTGTTTTAATTCGTAGAGCTAAAGACGCTCTAGCTGGTGTGTTTAATAAATTAACCATATCTTTTTCGTTTTACTGTACACTTTTAGTCAGTAGAACTTGAATTACTGATATTTATTTTTTGTTTCTGAATTCCTGACTCCAAAAGTTGCAGCGGACCATATGTTCCACATTTATTTGATTTTAATCTGATAGTACCTCAACCAAAAACATATTTTCTGTTATGTTTCATTTTCATGTGTCTTTATTTTAGTAACTAAGATGGGAGTGATTAATTGAGAACTACTGCTTGTTGATAGTGGTTTAGTTTTTAAATAGTTTAGATTGAATTAAGTGTAAAGCTAGGATTTTGTGTCCTCAAATCCGCTCCAGATTAAACATCAAAATATTCCGTAGTTGCTATCTTGATATTTTAAAAGCTGAATGTCTAAAGCACCCAGTGATAACTAGATTCTATTTGTGATAAAAAGATATAATTTAGAATTAAAAAAGAGATAAGAGGATTTAATTCTTATTTATTCGTACTGTAAATCACGTCCACTAGATTTGTTGTTTACATATTTGGCCTTCACTGAAAGTGACTGCATAATTAATCAGTTTTAGGACCAAAGACGGTTAATAACATGCCCCTGTCTTGTAGCGTATTGGATTCAGGAACAAGAATAGGCTCCGAGAGAGAATTCCTTTCACATTTACTATCCGATTAAATCTTATTCCAGCCGGGGTCTGGGCCAAATAATTTCAGCACATAATACAGAAAAATAAGCAGGAATAGCTTAAACTTGATTTTTGAGAAAGTGTATGATTCATCGTTTTTTTCGGATTCCTGCATTTAGGTTTCAAAGGAAATGCTCCCAAGTAGTTGTCAAAAAAACAAATATTCATCTCTTAACAGAACCTCTAACTGACAAATTTGTAGAAGATCATCCATTGTTAAAAAAAAAAAAAAAAAAAAAAAAAACTATAATATTTAGTTTCCAATTTAAAAAGGCTTAAAATGATACTGAAATTTAGAATTTTATTAAGCTAATGGATTAATGGATTTCCATTCTTCGTCAGAGTTTCGTACATGACAAATTTATTAAAAATAACCCAGGGCAACATCAACATCAATATATATATGTGATGTACCAGCTTTTGTGCGGAATAAATAGATTGGTTAAGAATCATAGATGTAGTCGTAGCTTAAATTATCAGACGATAAGTTTTAAAAAACAGGACCCATTTATTATATTTCAGGGGAAATAGCAATTACAAAAATCAAGATCTCCAGAGTAAATAAAAAAGAATTACTAATAACCTTTTGTATGAAGTTTACTGCATTGTGACATTTAAGAAAAGCCCCGATATTCCTTTACGAGTCTTTTTAAAGCCTCTGGAAAGGCGGAGCTTCCAAGAAATGACGTCAGCCTCGTCAGCCATTCCAGTTCGCTTTAAATATTTCCAGAACATTCTATAACTGTATGTGTAGAAAAGGCGGGAAAAACAACTTGACTACGGGGCTGTAGATTTAATTCCACGTACTTTCAAATAAGAGAACGTCGCCATTAAAAATGAAAAGAACATACAGTTAGAATTTTAAGTGTATTCTTGACTATGGAATTTTATTATTACAAAATATTCCCAATATATATTAAATGTAATAATAAAATTTCATATATATATATATAGTATTACAATTTTTTCCATTTAAAAATAAAATTATCCCATTACTATTTACACGCAATATGCTGCGGAAAAATTAATAAACTATAGATAAGAAGTAAGACATTTAGAACCAAAATTCACAAATACATGAAAAAATGAAATTCAAAACAACTAAAACAAATAATTACCTGTAGATATGTAAAATTATCAACAAATTGTCACCAAGCCAGACGAATTACTGTTAACTATAGATGTAAAATTTAAAAAATATATAGGAAGAGGAAATGCAATTAAAATCTTATTCAACGTTATTAAGAGGATGTAGATCAGAGTCAGTTGAATCTCTCCTCCCCTCCAGGGAAAACCACTGAGGTTCTGTTTATCCAAAATTAGCTGATGAACCATGCTGAATTATTTAATTATAACAGCTCACTCGAAAATTACGAATTCTCTGCTAATTATATCTCTGCGTATGTATATTTGGTATCATTACATTTTGATTTGAGTTTTTATTTCAGTAAAATGTGTCTAATTATTTATTTTACTTTACTGGGCATTGAATACACAAATGGATTTGTTTTTATATATTTTTATTTCATTTTTGGAATTCCTCTGCGAAGAGGAGGCGTTATATTTATACTATATATAGTTTAATATCTCTTTCTCTCTATATATAGAGAGAGTTATATAGATAGTTATTTTTATATACAAGGTGGTTACAATTAAAACACCCCTTCTCTGAACTCTCTATACATCGAACTACTGAGTGTAAAGGCTTCAAAATTGTTAAACATACTATTCAAGACATAGGGGAATGGATTACGTGAAAAACATACTCCAGAAACACTAATAGGTGGCGCCGTTCAAAAGAACATTTGCTGAAAAGACACAAAATACACTTTATAATACTTTTACTCGAACGTACCAAACATTCATATTGCAAAGACCTTATCGATGCATGGGAAGCTGCTCAATGTTGTTTCCTTCTTCAAAATGTAAAATCTGCAGTCTGTGGACAGCTTGTTCAACTGCGGATCGTAATTGGTCGCTTGAGATGCTTCTCACATGCAGAGTGATACTGCCTTTCGAATTTGCCAAAGTTATCAGACGTCGTCAATAAACAAGGTTTTTTTAGGAACTCCACAGCCAAAAATCACATGGATTAATATATGGAGAACGAGATGGCCAAAGAGCAAAACTGCAGTTACAATGACAGTTTAAGTTTCTTAACATTTTTTAGTTCTTTTTTTTCATATCCGCAATAGAAATTAAAAAGGAATATTTCCATACCTCATGGCTTTTTTTGGTGATTATTTGTGCTTTCCCAGCATATTTTCTGTTACACAGCGCCACCTATCGGTGTATCTGGAACTAATTTCGTTTTCACTTAATCCATTTCCCCATGTCTTGAATAGTATTTTCAACTATTTTGATTCTTTTATTCTCAATAATTCGATGTATAGAGAGCTCAGAGTAGGGGTGTTTTAATTTTCACCACCTATATAGTTTTGAAATCAAATTCTCTGCCAATTATTATGTATATTTTATATTATTACATATTAGTTTGAGTTTTAATTTTAGAAAATGTGTCTAATTATTTTTCTTTTACTTTATTGGACATTGAATTTACATATGGATTAGTTTTTGCATATTTTTATTTCATTTTTGGATTTCCTCTGCGTAGAGGAGGCGTTATATTATAGTATATTAATAATAAAGTAAAATAGGCCTAAATTAATAATAAAGTTCGAAAGAATTTTAGAATGTTAAGATACTCGACTAGTTAGACTTAAATACACTTTAAGTCCCACAGTATTTTATAATATAATGTAAATATAATAGAAATAATGGATTGTATAGATCAAGATAAAATACACGAGAGCTCTTTGCATACCAAAAGGATGGAATCCGAACAGTATTACTTCTTTTGGCCTTTTATAAGCATCTCTTGCGATTTCCGAATAACTCGGTCTTAAGTGCATTCATTCACAAAGAACGTTACATTGACGTTTTATCAGGGATGCGATCCATGAATGGGGGAATGTATAGAATCACCGAATACTGATAGTTGCAGCCGGTTTCGGATCCTAGAGAAGGATCCTAATGAAGATATTTTTATGATCTTCCCTTTGGTTACATGACTAAAAGGTTGTTTCTCCTAGAAAGTCTTTCACAAATGCATTCCGTCTCTCTTGATGCAGATGATCCTTGCGTGAGTTTCTGTAATTAATTAGACAAATCTAATATGGGATTTTAAAAAGACAAATGTAATATGGGATTCGATCTTAAAACAAAACGCATGTGAGTCAGCCTTCACTAATCATCATATCGTTCGGACGGCTAGCGAATTTAGTACATTTTATTAGTGAAATTATATTAATCAAGCTATTGCACTTTACATTATGGTCAAACAATTTAGTGTTAGCTTTGCCTTCTTATTTGACTTAAGTATGAATCCCTTTTCCTCAGAAAAATTCTCCATGAAAGTCATTTTTTACACAGTAGGCAGACCTGGCGAGCTTTATCGAAATCAACAGTATAATACCATATCTTATAAAGATCATTTTAAATAGCTTCTGTTAGCATGAAACAGTTACGATATGTTACACACATACACACACCATTGTCATAAAGTGCACAAAAATGAGCGCGGTACGTTTTTACTGGTGTTTAATGGTAAGAACATAAATGAGAGCGATATTTATGTAATGAATTTACGTAGTAATAAAAGTTAAAAATCAAAGTCTACTAAATGTACTTAGTTTCAAGAAGAGTCTTTGTGAATTATATGATATCTTGAAAATGTGGAAAAAATGTGTCATACATAATATAATGATTTAAAGAAGCCATAAACAAGGATTCCCTAGAAAAGAGGAGGGATAAATTCATTCCGTTCATGGATAAATTTTTTGGAGTAACGAAAAGTGAGGGAAAAAGGAACGTATATTCTTGAATAAAAGTTCATTGGTATTCTACTTTCAAACTAGTAACGTTTACCCAGTGAAGTCAATGGATTATGCTAATTACGCTTCAGATTCCAAGAATTTATAATTGAAGTCATTTTCCCTAAACTGCCATGAAATTTGATACCTCCTTTTAGCTCGCAAGGGGCGCTGCTGAGAATTTAGATTTTGCTTCCATTGGATCTGAAAAGGCGCGCCCTCCAGTTTCCGAGGCTGTTTTATTACAAGAGACATGAGTAAAATAACGGTCAGTATTTTGTCCCTTGCTTTTTCAGAACTGAGCTTATGAAGTTTATGTATATCATTGAGTATATTTACTATGTATTCACTTCTAATGATGCTATTTTTCTGTTTTCTTCTTTTTTTTTTTTTTTTTTTTAGTTTTTATATTTGCTACTGAATTTTACTTTTCTATGGAGTTTTGAGAGTGTGGAAAATCTAGAAAAACTGAAAGGTATGTTCATTTCATAAAATGTGTCTTCCTTTTAATACAATTATAATGATTAAAAAGGAAATGTCTCTTGAAAACATTCCATTTATATGTTTTCATTTTTAGATGAATAACTATTTTTTCTCACGGTAAAATACTAAATTAAAAACATGAAGAACTGATCTGATAAATTCACAAATAAGGTTTAAAATAACAAACAGCATATAATTTCAGATAAAAATATGAAACGTGTTTTTAGTATGATAAGCGAAATCAGAGATGCTTTGTAAACTTAAATCGCATAGTGGAAATTTAAATGTTCAGCAGCGGGTTTGTTTTAAACATAACCTAAACACAAGGTTTTAATTCATTTTATGAATGGATTCTTTGCATTTCATTAATGTAATGGTGAATTAACAATGTTAAACAGAGTTTTGTTGCATATATATAGCATACAGTCGATTCGCGTAGTTAGTTCATACGTTTTCATTATAAAAACCCATCTCGATATTAAACCCAAAAGAAATTCACGATTGATATTAAGCAAATCTGATTTCCATCCGATAGGGCGACCATTTTTCATATCGTAAAGACTATATAAGTCCTTCTGTGTCAGTCCTTAGAAGATCGTTACAACGTAAATTGATTTGACTGAATCCCTTTATATATATTTTTATTTATGTTAATATGTCTTCATTGAAATTTCAAAGTTAAAAATTTTTCACATTCTTACAAAATGTTCTTTAATTAAAATATGCACTGTCATTACTAATATACAAATGATTAGATATGAGAAGTCTCCACTCTTACAATATTAATGTAGTAACTGCAAATGGTAAGTTTAATCCTCAAAGAAGATGTCCTTTCCCAAAGAATATCGTGCTTTTCAACTTAAAAGGTTAGTTTTGTACACGGCATAGTCATTAGAATTTTTTACGTTGAGTTTGAAGAATAGTTATAGAAGAAATGGAAACGGAAGGATTATCATCTTGGTTGCAGCTGGTTTAGAGCACCTGAAAACAAAGTGAAATTCTAGTCTTTTTCTGAGAATATGGTTGCACTTCATTCAACCAACCGCCTCCTCGAGCCAACAACTCCTCTAGCCAGCAGGATCACTATCCTCGATGGAGAGAAACTTTCATACTCACAGAAGAATATTTAGCAACAAATCTTTGTGTCACAATTGGAAGCAAACTGGCGGTGGACTTTACACAAGTATTCACTACTTCAACGGTAAAGAATAAGTTCCAATATACTTTCTTGTGAATACTCACAGAAGACACAGAAGACAGACAGTTCCAATATACTTTCTTGTGAATTCATCGTCCAGCACTGCATTAAGGACTGCTATCAGCCCATATAAGAAAACATCTACAGTAGACTGAAGCTCTCAGGAATAACGGAAGTAATTTTAGTGACGAATCCGTTTTCCCTAGGATAAAATACTGACAGACTGGGACGCAGTGTCATCCTTGTGAAAGCTTGGACCACTCTAGAACCCGTTCTACTTATTGAACTTTGATGAAGTTTGGTATATATGTTATGCGGTCCAAGTGAAAACGATTTTTGCAATAAAATAGTTCACATTTTGACCACCAGGGGAAATTGTGGCGCGTAAAGAATGACAAAAAATTCTGTCAGAATCATAAAAATTTATTCAATTACAGGATGTGTTCAATGTGTGCTCCATTGACATCAATAACGTGCTGAAAGCGCATTAGTGTTTTCAATCGTAGCACGAAGTAACTCTCGAGGGATTTCAGCAAGATGGCGTGTAATGTTTGCTTTCAACTCAGGTAAAGTCCTAATTCCTCCTCTATAAACACAGTCTTTTAGGAATCCCCACAACCAAAAATCACAGGGATTTAAGTCGAGTGAACGAGGAGGCCAGGCATCCAGAAAAGCTCTGGATACCACACGATTTTCGCTAAAGTTAGCACGAAGCAGTTTTTTGACTTGGCGCCCAGTACGGGGAGTAGCTCCATCTTGCATGAAGAGAGTGGTCTGATAAAACAGTTTTACCAGTAAAGCTCGATCTTTCTTCTGTAAAGGCATGATTCAACAATGATAAAAACACGCAGAAAAGAAGGATTGTCTGGCTCTGGCTGCGAGTCTCTTTATAGGTTTGACTAATTTGCATAAGGAAGTTTTGAAAATTGCCATCTGGTGGGCAAAATTTGAAGTATTTTTGTATTACAGAAACCTTTTCCCCATAGTCCATATAACGTATATACCAAGTTTCATCAAAATCCGATAGGCAGGACGTGTTCTCCAGGGGTCTGAATAGGGTCACTTTAATTAAAACCACCCTGTACATTCAGATATTCAGTTTCTCTGTGGAAATTTCATCAAAATGCGATGGAATTTTCTTTGTGTAGCAATTTTTCGGGCGGTGTACATAATGCTTTTAGAGAAAGTAAAATGTCTTATTTTCTCGTCATGTAATAGTAATAATTTCTCATCTGCTTGAGGGAAACCCGCTTATACGTACATCTATAAATTTATGTAAAAGGTTAGGTCATGATTATGGCAAAGCTTAGTAGGACTATTTGCCTTAGGAACGAGAGAGACTTTCAAGAGATATTGAAAAGTACTTATATTACATATGAGAGAAGTCACATAGCGGCTCATGTAGCCAGCCTTTTTAACTCCATATCAAACTTGAAGAAATGCAAATATTCCAACCAACTGACATTATATGTAAAAGTTATGGGTTATGTGCAAAGATTTCGGAAAAATATCATTACATGAATTTCCAAAAATCGGGAATTTGGTGTTTTGGACTAAATAAATAAAAATAAGATATTTGAAAGAAAAAAAGTGAAAAATAGCAGATAGGTTAAAAAAATATCCGTAATAATAGTATTTTTTCAATAACTCAACTTTCTGAAAACTATGTTCAACATTAATGTTGTCTCTATAAAGCTCAAACAATCAGTGCTTTATTTAATATTTCATCAGTACTGAGGAATTCACTCAAATTACATAAAAATGAAATTTAAAATGAGTAATTAATTTCATTGCTTTAAAAACTGAGATCCGCATAATAGTAACATTATGTTTAAAATTAAGTAAAAAGGAGAAATTAGATTGGAGTAGATTTTGAATACAAAGTGAGTTTATACTTATTTTTATCATAGTTTCATTAATTTCTATCATTCCTTATTTTTATTATAATTTCTTCTTTTCTGTTGCAGTACAATGTTTTTGCAGAATTAGTCAAATGGCAGATAGACTTATTACTTCAAATTTTTCTATATAATTTACGCGTAGATCATTCCTTTAATGAATTGTTCAGTTCACTTTAAAGCTGATTTAAACATTAACTGTGCACTTGATAAAATTATTAACTACATTTAATTAAATTTTTTATGTGGTGTTTTCTATCTTTTAGCTTAAAATAGCATTACTCATTATTTCTTTCGAAAGTAACTCGTGTTTACCCTTAATTTCAGTTACCGCTATTCAAGGATTTCATTTTATCAGACACTAATTAAATTTATATGTTAGCTGTATTGATAAAGTTATGTTCGTGAAATGCTCAGTAGAAGATGAACCGAATACCATCCATTATGAAAATGTGATAGTTTGGGAAACAATCAGGAAGTCTTTCGATCATCACCAGAATGTTTCGCCATTGAAAGGTTTTTTTTATAGTTGCAGTTTTAGGCATTGAAGCTAATCTGAACTGAAAGAAGCACTGAGTCACTGTTATTTAAGAAATTTGATGCAAATTTATGATTTATTTTTTTTTCTCATTCTTTATCAGTATAGCTTCCTATATTCTTCGAAAACTTAATTTTCAGCAAAATGTAATTTGGCTACTACGAAAGAGCTAAAATATCAAACGAAAGTTTTACGTTTTTTTGCAGTTTGGTCTTTTTTATATTCATGTTTCCATGGCAAACTTTGTATAGCTTGAATTTCTGTTCAATACGGAAAAATCGTATTTAAATATTATTTCTTGGTGAGATTACTATCATTTGTGCTCACAACTGCTTAATTTTCGGTGAAATTTCTGTTGAAGAAACTCTCTTGAATGTTTTCCTATATTTAAATATTTTGTCATAAAATCCAAGAGATAATTTTAAGAAATAAGTTAACAGGAATGAAATTGCTTGAAAGCTTATCGTTATAAGCATAGCAAAATTATCAAAATAATTATACATTAGATAAAATGTATAATACAAAAAATGTGCGAAATTAATGAAAACGTGACTGAACATATGACTGTAGAATATGTGAAATTTTTTACACTGACTATCAACTTATGTTATGGAAGATTTGCTTACATAATTTTGAAACACTTAAACATATTCACGACTAGATACTATAATGAAAAATATGTTTTTCCCTAAGGTGTTAGTTTTTATTTTTAACTTAAAAATTAACTTATGATTGATATAAGTTGCTATTTGTTTGTATTAAACGATTGTTCAATATCTTATTTCATAGTTAATTAGTGTTTTACAAGCCGTTTATTTGAATAACTTGAAATTGAATATTTGTTCGGTTCACCTTTTTCTGAATCCACTGCGGGCTCTCTTTTTTAATATTATTTTTGATATTTTTCAGTATCAAAATTTTACATGAAAATCGGTTTAATGGGAAAATGCAAAATTATGTTTTTGGGATGTACTGTATAAAAGAGAGCAAAACTTTCAAATCATTTGAAAGTAAGAATACAGTAAGTTTCTAAACAGTAAGAATTTATATATTTTAAAGCAATGAAAAATAAAAAAAAATTAAAAAAAAAAAAAAAAAAACTGATAAAACTAACTCTACATTTCTCTACTTATGAACCCTAAAACTGTAGGAGACAGTGTGAAATCTGCAGGGTAGCTTTACCCATAGATAACCAACATTTGAATTAAAAGTTTCAATATTGATATTTTAAGAATCATTTTGTTCCTTTTAATTTTAAAATATTATGGGTTACTTAAAAAGACATTTGTTTTTATTAATATGTAATTTATATAGTTTGACTTTCTTTGGAAGCATAAACTAGTATCAAACTCCTAACAGACGGTAAGCTATTTTTTGCTGCTGCTAAAACGAACTACAGAGATCTGAAAAGGTTTAAAATAAACCTTTTGATATAAAAGAACTTAGAACATAAACGAATTTCTTGTACTCACAGTATCAGCCACCACTTGCGGCGATGCAACTTAAAGTAACAGCCAAATGCGACACTTCCTTTCAGTATTCTATGATTTTCTTGGTTTTCAGAAAATGCGATAGCAAAGACTGAAGACATAAAGCAAAGACTGAAACAGTTCGACTCTGAGTACAGCAACATGTGGCGGCTGCATCAGTTGGCAGACTGGAGCTACAGCACTAACGTGTCGAGTGTTACAGCGTCCGCCCGTGAGTTTTCATCGGGAGTATACAGTAATTGGATGAAAAATTGGAAGATATGGGCTCGGGAAGTAAACACCGATATTATTTCTGAAGACTTGCGACGAGAGGTTAATATCATGGCAAGTGGCGTAGCATTTACAACTGCAGAAAAAGCTCGGTAAGTAGGCATCTTTACACATTTATCTTCAAAACGGGCACCATTAATGGCGGCACACTTATTAATTTTTAACTACATCTTATTAGTTTATAAATTAAAAGGAAATATTGTAATACAGTGCATATGTTTCGAAAACCTGCGTTTTTTCCTTAGAATGATCTCAGAAATAAAATAAAAAAAAGTTACTTTATAACAGCAGACTGACCTGCGAAATCAAACATAAACAACTTACCTCTATTTTGTAGGTTGGTCTCCGAAATTAAATCTAAACTGACTGAGATATACAGTTCAGTAGTGATCGATCTTCCTGAAATCAATGTTACTGTTCGAGGGGAATCGGAAATAGTGTCTGCTATGGCTACAATAAAAGACCCAGTTATTTTGAAGAAACTCTGGCAGGCATGGCGTGTGCAGGTTGGAGAGAAATCTAAGACTTTGTATTTACTACTTGTACAACTCACTAACAAAGAAGCGCGTGAAAATGGTAAGTATATCATAGATTTGGCATCATTTAAGCTTTATGTAGCTACATTTAATTGCCGTCTATTGAAGTTCCAACAACTGATTGCAAATACAATGGCATTTCAATGTTATTTTCTATGTTCTAGCTGTGGAACCATTCCATAAGTATTAACTTATCTAACGACAAATGTGCTTCTAGTAGCAGACATGACAGTTGATCTTCCCAGACATTTAATAAATTAAAACTTTAAAAAGTGATAAATAATTTTAAATTCTACAACATGTTAAAGTGCTTTGTTTTTGCATGGTTTCCGTTACAGATGTGCATTCAGGTAAGAAAGCTATGCAAATTTATCTCACTCAAGTTGATAAAATACGGGCGAATCTTAAGTGCACTCTAATTGTAAAACTGATCCACGCCGTTTGTGACTATTGAGCTCAGCTATCAAGTTAAATTTCGTTGATGAGAAATATTCGAGTTTAAAAGATAATGCTTCCGTCCAAAAAATATATGAACCAAACTATAATTTTTAGGGATGTTTTAGCCGTCTCATCAACGAATACATTTCTCACAGTCACAACGAGTGAGTGGTAGATAAATATACAGTAGAGTCCCGCTAATTTGATTCTCGATTACGCGATGTTCCGTGTAACTCGACGATGACTTTTTTTTAATCATTGAATGAATTATGCGGGTCAAGTAGAACATTATCTTAGGAATAACGTGGTGGTTTTTTTAGAAGTAGATCGTAATATTTTCTAACATTGTCTACGCAGTGAGAACTGCATAAGGACATATTAATTACTGTAGTTTTGTAATTAAAATACATGTTTATGAATATCCGCATATGACCTCGGTTTTTCAGAGATTGGTTATGGTAGTCTAATTTTGCAATTTTTGTCTCTTTCCCTTTTCGGCACTATTTCTTGGAACCTAAATAAGGAATTTGGTAACAGGTTTTATTCGTTCTGTGGAAAATCCAACCTAACCTATTCCTCCAATCGGTAACAAAATGGTTGAAGAAACCGCTGCCGATTACCACACACATTCCTCTTTTCTATCATTAGTTGTTAGCAGGTTTATGGTTATATCTTAATGTAAGCTAAACATTTAGTTCATTGTGAGTAGAGTTTCTCAGTCTATCCAAGCTTATAAATGTTGTGTTGTGTTGTCTGTGCAAGTGGAAATGTCGAACATGAAGAAAAGAAAACAAATTAAAATAACACAGGAAATGAAACTGGATACTTTAAGACACTGGAGAAAGAGAAAAGTATTAATCAAATTGCCACGATTTTAGGTGTTGGAAGAAATATTATAAATTGTGAATTACGAACTTAATTTACTGATATAAATTTTTTAAATATTTGGCAAAAACTGCTTAATTTTCAATTGCCTTGTTAAAAAATATTCAACTTGTTTCTTATTTTTGGAAGCACATTATATCTTGACGCTGGGCTTGTTTTCACTAGGTAAAAGGAGGGTCAGTAATGTTGGTATGTTTTGTAAGGTTGTTTTACGTTAATTATATTAATTAACCTGATATTTTATGTTTCGGATTTTTAATATCACTTCTCCCTTCTGTTTTCCCGCCAGAATGCAAATTACTTCGCTTGTGTCTGAGGTGAGATTTTAGATTGTACGGCAAACTATGTTCTGCCTCTCAAAACCACGTTACTAGGTTACTAAACAAGATAAGATTTGTAGTCTTCGGGTTTGCGTTATAATCGCCAACATTGAATCTCCCCGCCGGTTTAAATCAGTCAATTTCGCTTTAAACTATTTTGTGTATCCTTCGGCCGCTAGCTTATTTGAATTTAAATTTTACATTTGAACTTACCGTTATTTCACCACAAGTGGATGTCTGAATTATAAGCATCAAGCGTGCCTTCCGTTCTTATTGAGTTTTAAATAAAAGGTCTTTTACACTCGCCTCAAGTTTCGGTTATCATTTTAGATTTAGATAATTCGCTGCCAGTCTATCTGAAGTTTAGTTACAGTTTATGATCGCAGAGATTTTAAAATTTTGTAACTTTTATTTTGGGATGGCCTTTTATTTTATTTTTTTGAGATTGCATTTATTGCATAAAAACGTATATATTGAAAAAATATATTATATAGAAATATATAGCAAATTATATAGAAAAATATATTAACTGGAAATACATAGAAAATTATAGTATATAGAAATGTAATATATAAAATAATTTTAGTGCATTGTTTCCCTTATATAGTAATATATATATATATATATATATATACTATATATATATATATATATATATATAATATATATATAATATATATATATATATATAATATATATATAGATAGATATAGATATATATATATCTATATATATACATATATAAATTTTAAGATTTTCTTCTTTACCACATGATATAGCTTTATGTCAATATATAATTAATTACAAGTTTTATTAATATGCATATATTTTTAATTAACGGTATAAGGTATTTCTCCCACTTTCCTAGCGTCCTTCTTGGTATAGTGGTTCTGCAGGCTGGGCCGGTATTCCAGAGGTCCGTGGTTCGATTCCCGGCGAAGGTGGTTGCAAATTTTTCATCTCTCTGGCTTCTAAAAAATCCTAATGTCTCTACAAGTGGCGCCCGAACTAAAAGGGTTGTGGATGATGATTCTCCGAACCCAGGATTTGGCGACTAGGTCCCCTAAAACCCTAGTCGCCCTTTAAAAAGAGGAGTATATAAGGTATTTCTCACACTTCCCTAGCGTGCCTTCGTGGTGTAACGGTAGCACGCTGGGCCGGTATTCCAGAGGTCCGTAGTTCGATTCCCGGCGAAGGCGGTTGCATATTTTTCGTCTCTCTGGCTTCCAAAAAATCCTAATGTCTCTACAACGGGACCTTGATTATGCCGATCAACTGCCGATGCTTATTCAGCTACGGACCTCAAAGCCATCCCTTGATCATTATTGGCCTCCTTTTAAAATTTCATGAGCCCCATTGGGAATCCATGCTCTAGATAACGAGATTACAATAGCAGAACAAAAAATTAATTTATTGCTATTCCGTACGTAGTTTCTGCTCAAGAAGATATTCTTGAAGAGTATTTGAAACAAAATTTTGATGAAGAAGGATCAATAATGAAAATTAAATCATTCTTTCGAAGAACACTGAGAAATTATAACGAAAAGCTATAGAATGATTCTGAAAGAGAGGACATCTTGGATATTATTATTTAAAACCCAGAATAATTAAGTGGGTTATATACAGCCCATTTATTAATGATGATATTTAATATAGTATATTTATATTATTTTATTAATCTTCTACACCTTATTATGATGTGTGATCAGTTAGAAATTCGCTGGGCTTGGTTTGGATTCTCGGCGAGAATAAGGTTGATATTTCAAGATTTTCTGCTGATAAAAACTTAATAAATCTATGATCTATAAGTCTATCCATTTGCAATACATTTCAGTTTGCAAAACAGCTTATAAAATGAACACATACATTTGGACATGATTAAAACTTATATACAAATATTTAGAAATAAATATATTTTAACTTTAAAATTCTGGAAAATTTTGGAATATTTTTCTACTTAACCATTTCGTCTCTGTTGGTAATATCATTATAAATTATATTTGTTTGCTTTCTTTCAATTTTTATAAAGGCTACTCAGATATTGGAGTATCTTGGAGAGAAGAAATGGGTCTCGATGATGTGATGTCGACAGCTCTATCACTATGGAGTGAAGTAAAGAGTCTCTACAAAGAGATACATGCATACACACGCTATAAATTACATTATCTGTACAAGGAGGTGATATCTTCTAGCCCAGATTTAATTCCTGCTCATTTGTTAGGTAAAGAGAATCATCATTAATCTTATCATTAATTTCCGAATGTATTTAAAAATTTTCTGCTGCATGATCATGAAAAGGCTTCTTATTTTGAACTTGATGTATGTTCTGTCGGCAGCCTTTAATCTCTTATTAGTTTGTAAGGTACTTTCTCCCTTTTAATTGCGGGCTTTCGTTCTGTAATTGGAAGCAGGTAAGGCTAGCAATCGGAATTTGAATCCCGATAAAGCAACCGCTCATTTTTATGTTTTTTGCTTTGATAAACATGATGGCTCTGAAAATTTAAATGATATGTGCAAAATTCTTGATTAAAATCTTATTTGGCATGAGAAAGTACCAAAATTGTAGAGGATCTGACTGTTTTGCAACTACGTACTCAGAACTGTTAGTCATACTTTATAATTTCAACTTTGATAGACTGGTGCTGTTAATACTGTTACGTAATTTATTTTAACATCAACAGAGCACTAGTTTCTTTTTATTATTTAGGTAGCCTTTGGAGCGAAAATTGGGTTGCTCTAAGTCCTTTTCTCATGCCGTTTCCTGAAAGCCTGCCAGTTAACATCACTTCTAGACTCATTTCAGATGGCTATTTTGTTACTGATCTCGTACACAAAGCTGAAGAATTTTATACTATCATGGGTTTGAACGCCATGACAGAAAGCTTTTGGAATAAATCGATGTTTGAAAAACCCAATGATGGTCGCCTGGTGGACTGCCATGCTGTTGCATATGATTTTTCAAAAGATGATGATTTCAGGTAAATTTAAATTTCCAGATATTTTGCATTGAATAAATATGTTTTACTAAAACACAAAGTCTGTAAACAAAAGAAAAAAATCCGTTTTAACGCATAACTATACTTTTGTACAGCTTGAAAGTGCATACTTTCAATATGTACAGTCATCTGATTAACTTGGGCAATATTAGTGACGACGTTCACGATTTACTCAAATCCGAGGGCAGTTAAAAGAACACAGGAAAAGGGAACAGAATTTTCCAGCAAGTTAGCATAAAGAATAAATTTATAACTCAGTATTCCCCTTCCTGCAAAAAGCACTATAAAGAGCCGAAGAATAAACATCATTAAAAGTGAGGAAAGTAAGTTATAAATAACATTAAAAACATATTTACAAAAGGTCTTGATAGAAGTCTTTGAGTTCAACTACATGCAAAAATGTTGGCTAGAACTATTTGTTCTAGCAAATATAATTTTCTGTTACTACTGTCATTCCAAACTGTCTTCATTTCCCTCTTTTTTGTTTATTTATTTTTAATTTCTTTTATTTTCCATAGAAAGTTTTCTTTTATGTTCATGATTTGGAATAATAATTTTGCCATCGTTTCGCAATTAATACACATAACATTCCTTTTGGCATAACCTGGTTATTCCGCCCCCGGATTAATCAGAGAGTTCTCTGTATGTTGCAAGTGATATGTGACTTAGCAAACAGGAAAAAGTGCAAGATGCACTTTTATGCAGCCAAAAGCATCCCAAAGTACTCGCAATATGCTTCTGAAAAATGAGAAATCCAATGTTTAAAGTTTAAGGCATAATCAGACCATGAATTTTTGTTTTAATAGTTTGTAACTTTAAAACTTGGCTTCAAAGATTATCAGTCTTTCTATTCCAGGCAGAAATATTGTGATGAAGAAAAGGTGTTTTATCGAATAATTGTTTACCGAATAAAATAGTTCAGCAAAGTTGTTAAGACATCTTTTTTTCTTGCATGCTTCCACACAGTTTTCGGACTATAATAAGATGTTAGAACTCTTCTTTTTCATTTATTCGATTTCAAAAAGCAGATAAGGCAGATATCCCTCAGAGAAGGATTTTCTAAAAAAAACTGGTTCGAATGAAGATTTTTGTGTTAGCTTTATAAGGTATTTCTCCCGCCTTCTTAGCATGCCTTCGTGGTGTAGTGGTCAGCACGCTCAATGCGTATTCCGAGAGGTCCGTGGTTCGAGATCCGGAAAGGATGTTGCTCATTTTTCATGTCTCCTGCTTCAAAAATACCTAATGTCTCTACAGTGGCACCCGAACTAAAAAGGTGGTGAATGATGATTTTTCACCACCGGATTTGGCGAAAGGGTTTCCTAAAACCCCAGTCGCTTTTTAAAAGGGGGAGTATATAAGGTAGTTCTCCAGCCTTCTTAGCATGCCTTCGTGGTGTAGTGGTCAGCAAGCTGGACGCGTATTCGTGAGGTCCGTGGTTCAATTCCCGGCGAAGGCGTTGCTCATTTTTCATGTTTCTTGCTTCAAAAATACCTGATGTCTCTACAGCTTTTTTATTAGCTTTATCTAACATCACCTCTGCTTGAATATCACAAATTTTAAATCAGACCTCCTTAGGGAATTTTCTTACCTGCTCAGCTGTTTCCCTTAAATGCATTTTTGCTATTCAATTGATGAACTTTTAAAACATACTTTGTAACTCATACGAAGCAAAGGGATTTTCGCTCTCGTTACTCCATTCAGCATATGGGCAAGCGAAGTCAAGATCAGGCCGTCTGAATTCCCGAAGGTCACGTTTAAACCCAGCACAGTTACTACGACGGGTGAACTATAAAATGTTATTTGAGGACGTTGTAAATATTTGTTTTTCTAATTTACACTTTTTTCCGTTGTCTAAACACCTTAATTTTGCATTTTTGATGAAGTTGACGTCAAAACAAGACGTAGAGGAAAGATTCAACGTAAGAAATTAAGGGTTAATTAAAAGAATAATTCCTACAACTATGTAAGAAAGAGGAAAAAGTTATTACTATTTTCAAGACAGTTAAAAGCAGATCAGGTATCTCTTAAGCACAGAAGAATAAGATTTTGTGATAAAACTGCCTGAAATTTCTTTAGCATTTCCATTACTCAATATTCATAAATTTTCTAAATGGTATTATTCTATATCAATTTTCTTCATCATCAGTACACATTTTAAGTGATCGCATTTAAATACTTTCGAACCAGTTAGCTCTTTTAATACCTTTCCTTTATAATATGTACAAAACAATCGTAGATTTCTGCATCATAAACTACAAATGCAAATTTTCTGTTTGAACTTCTCACTCATCGAAGCATTTACGAAAGGCAAAACTAGTTATAAACTTAGAAATTATAATTAAAGCCAATTATTGGATTATGCGTAATGTTATAATACTTGAAATTCATGGTAAAATATATACAGGGTGTTTGGGAAAAAAGTGCTAACAGGCTTTATTTCCTTAAGCATTGGTTCTACTTCTTACAAAGTCCAATGACACAATGCAATAATATGAAACTAATAAAATATTCGCTATACTTTAGGAAATTAAACACAAAACGTCGAACGAAATTGAATACTTTTTCGCCAACTTTCGGAACCTGTTACGAAACGAAAGATGCTCGAGTTAGTCAATAATGATACTCTGTTTGGTAAGATGAACTCCTTATTAAATTCGTAGCTGGTATCCATGGTAATATTAAAAAATAATATCTTTTTAATGTATTTCGTACAGAATACGAATGTGCGGAACTGTGAAGGAAGAAAGCTTTATGGAAGCTATCCACGAAATGGGGCATATACAGTATTTCATGGAGTACCATCACCTTCCCATGATATACAGGAATGGCGCTAACTCTGCTTTTCATGAAGCTGTAGGAGAAACTATGGTATATGCTGCACAAAGCCCGAAATGCTTGCAAGTACTAAAACTAGTTAAATCTTCTAACTTTCCAGAAGGTAAGACTTGAACAATTTTTATCTTAAAGTTAATTTTGAAACTCTAGTATATAATTTACTCATAAAAAATAATGAAAAACAATATAGTGTGAATCAAGTAACTCTTGTTAGCTGAAGCTAAACAAGTAAGGCTAAGTGGCAAAATGTTTCGCTTACAATTGAATGTGCTCGAATCTCCACTTCTGCTTGTAGTCTATACACAGAGTGTCCAAAGTTAAAGAACCCTATTTCAAACCTGCCTACAGGCGAAAAAATATCCTTAAATTTTGCGGTGGAATTAATGAAAGGATAGAAATGTTTTAAGCAAAAAAAAAGTAGCTACAAATAGCGTCACCAGAGGCCGTTTTTCTTTAAATCCCAAAAATAAAAATGTAAATCTTTGTTGACACCACGCACCAGCTGTTATAAAAGCTAGAAACATTTTTTTTGAAGAAGGTGTTCGGAGGTTTTGTTTGCAATGCGTTTGCTGCTCACAATGACGATAAGTTTACGAGACCGCTCTTTGTTAGTAAAATTGTTTTACCAAAAATGTAATTCCGCGGTAGCTGCTGTAGTAAAATTTCGAACTTTGAAGGGGATTCAAAGAGGTCCAATAAATGTTAAAATCCTTGATAAAATGATAAAAAAGCTTGAAGAAAAAGGATCGTTTTTTGTTCGTCCTGTAACAGGAAGAAAACCCATTTCTGCAGAAGTAGTACAGAAGGTTGCGCTTCAGGTAGTAGAGCATACAGCTCCAAACTTTCAAGAACTACCACCAGTATCCAGCGTGTAGCAGAGGCTTTGGATAGGCCACGTTTAACTGTCCAAAAGATCTTGCGGAATATTCTCCAATATTCATTACAAACTTTCACTGGTACAGCTGTTGTTTCCACATGATTTGGACGCCCGAATCCGATCGTCACTTCACTTTCTTGCTCGCTTTGAGATCGATTCAGAATGGCCTCTAAATATCCTATGCACAGACGACACGCATTTCATTTGGACGGTGCAGTGAATATTCACAACTGCTGAATTTGGGAATCAAAAAATCTGCGGCCTATCATAGCGGTTCCTTTGCATTCACCGAAAGTGACGGCATGGTGTGGATTTTCTGTATCATTTATTCTCGGCTCGTACTTCTTCGATGAGTTCAGTACCTTTCATGCAAAATCTTTTTGCCAGATGGAGCTCCGCCACATATTGCACGGCGTGTTATGAATGTTCTTAAACATAATTTTATAGACGAACGTGTCATTAGCCGGCACTTTCGTAATGTGTGACCTCCGATTCCGCGATTTTTGGCCATGCATTTTTTGGCGCATGCGGTTTTTGGCTTTAAATGCATTTCAAACATCTGGTAAATAGTTACAATCCAAGAACTTTACATGATCATTTCACGCCCTTTCATGCCACGTGCTCAGGATTTTCCAGCACACACTTTGGTCAACCGTGGAACTTGCCATCTTGCGATTTCAGATGATAGCTGAAAATGAGAGTCATGATGCGAAACATGTTTTATTTTAAAAAAAATTATAAAACTATTATTTTCAAGGTGTAGCTAAACGTGTAATTTGTTAATATAAATGACCACTGATGACATTTCTAGTTAATTTTTTTTTCGCTGGAAGACATTCTCATCCTTTCATAATGTCAGCCACAAAATTTCACAATTTTCTGATAACTGGTTTCGCCTATAGCTTAAGAATAGATTTCTTTAATTCTGGAAATAGGTTTCTTTAATTTTGAAATTCTTCTGTTTCTAAGATTCCCACTAAAGTGTAACTGGAAAATTGTGGAACTTAAATACAATATGACTAGTGGTAACTTTGGCTAAGTTGCTAGGTTTCGGGGAGTGAAATTTCGGTTGTGTATACGGGGAGCAAAATACACAGCCCTTCAACCGCCTCAAAAATTTGAAATTATTCAGATGCAAACAATTGGCAAGAAAAGTTCCATAATTCTACCAAACATTTCACTAAGCAACTTGCAGCTTTATTTAAAGCACTGCATATATCTTCTTGGACATTTATGGTAAAATAGCAGCAGTATACATCACCTCGGATTGTAAGTTAAGTTATTTCGTTATTAGAATACAGCAAAGTCCACGAGGGTTACATGCCTAAAAGGAAACATGCCTTTGTGGGGAACTCTCTAAGGAAAATTATCGCATATTTACCTTAACCACGAAACTGAACCCTGCAGGCACCCCGTTCACCTGGATTCAAATCCGGGGTCGAACTTCATACATTCAGCTGCTTTAATTAATTAATTGCAACTTCATTGTTTTGTAGATGCAAGTAAAAGAACCTACCGAGCTGTGATTTACTTATGTTACATCGATTGAGTGAAAAATTTAGTTTAATTTTAGTTACATCGCAATAAAGAGTACCTGAAATTAAATTGCCTAGATTAGAGCTTTTGCAGCTCATTGAAATTTCCCGAAGATACTAAATTTAATTTCTGTCCTGAATCTATGATTATTCTTCAGTGGATTAAAATATCTCGAAAATTAAAATGTTTGCCAAAAAAAAAAAAAAAAAAAGATTTAGAAAAATAAGAACTCTTTTTAATTCAGATTAATGGAAATACTGTTCTGGAAAAGAAAACCCTGCGGATCTTTTCCAGTTTAGAATACACAGGTTAGCTGCTGTCAAGGACAAGGAACTCTACGGAAACGGACCGCCTTGACACTCCTCGCGTATTCGAGAGGTCTAAGTTCGAGTCTCGGTGAAGGTATTGCTCATATTTCACGTCTTCCGCATCAAAATACCCATTATATCTACAAAGTAATGAAATTTCTCATTTGGTTGAATCTGAAACAGATGAATCCACAACATTCGTTGCAGAAACTGAATTAGAAACTCTTTTGACTCAGCAGACTTGTGGAGACACTAGGTATTCTTCTGAAAGCAGGAAAGATGAAAAATGAGCAACGCCTTCGCCTGGACTAGAACGACGGACTTCTCGAATATGCGTCGAACGTGCTGACCACTACACCACGGAGGCTTGCTAAGAAGACGGGAGAAATACCTTATAATTTAAGGGGACAAGGGACGTTCAAATTTACAAATTTTCTTCCAAGATGTTAATATTCAGTTTTTATTCCCCAAAATAAAGAATAATGTAAGGGAAGTATACGTAAAATATTTTAAAATTGCAATGAATTTTAAGCATTTTATGAAGAAGTTTCGCTGTAGGCGTGGCCATTTAAATGCTTTTAAAGGGCACAAATTTGTCTTCCAGACGTTTTTTAAACATGCCAGTTAACAAATTAACTTTATATTTTGGTATAGGAAAGGCAACATGGATATTATTCCTTCTCTGAACGGCAATAGCAGCAGCTTTCAATTTTATTTACACTAGCGGAAACGAAGTTAATTTGCTATATGGTTGTAAATCAAAACACATATGTATCCTGTGATTTGAAACATATGAATATGGATGGAACAAACCGGTATCATGGCGTTTGAAAGAATCTTACTAATAAGAAGCTTGTAATCAATAGATATCTAAATCAGCGGTTCTCTACCTTTAGACTAACGCGTACCATCTAAACAAAAATTTTAAAAAATTAGTACAATCACTACATTTTACAATGATTATTTTTCACTTTTTTCAATAAAAATATTAAAATATATATATACATTGCCATTTTCACAACCTATTGACTATTTGTATTAAATATGCACACAGATTAAATTCGTACCGTCTCACCTTATTTTACTTGGTTTTAACAGTATATTAGGATCAGGATTCACTTTGAATTTTGTTCTTTATTTATTTTTCAAATATAATATGGAAGAAAATCCTTGTTCACACAAACAGGTTGTGCAAAAAGGCAATAGAGATTTACTAGCTTTATTTGAAATGCCTTTAATTTTTTTTTCGGATCAACCAAAAGTTAACAAGTGTGTTTGTTATTTTTGAAATCTTCAGTTAGAGTTCGATCACAGGAAATTTCTATCAACTGTTCTTTTTCTTCGAAAGGTAAAATTTCAGGTACATTTGAACAAAATGGATTTCTAATCCAATTTCCTTTTTCACAATCCTCAGGAAAATACACGTTGAAATTATTTATCAATGAAAAACAATGATTTTTAATGTCGGATGCTAATTCTTCTTTTATTTTCAAATTATATTCGGTTAAAAAATTTTCTAAAAATGGTAAGAAGCCTAAAATATTATTATCCAATTCTTTGATTATTAGCTCGAGATTTTTTATCATCGCATTTACTTTATCTCTAATGGTAAACAAATTAACGCAAATTAACACAGTCCTAAATTTAATTCATTTAACTTTCCAAAAATATCAGTTAAATACGCTAAACACGCCAACCATAATTAACTACACTCATGTCCATAAATTAAGGATAATGCAAAATCAGGCAAAAGAAGATTTAGAAGCAAAAAAATTTGACTTATTTATAAAGCTTATTTATTAAACAAAAGGTAAAGAGCAATAAAAGATGCTATATGTTTGATATTACTAAAACAATTAGCGATTTTTTCTCCCTGGAGCAAATTACAAAAAAAACCTATTTACAAAAAACCAATATTACATGGTTGGTATGATTGTTAATACATTGTATGTCTCCCAGACGATGCAATACAGTCCGTACAACGCCTAGGCATACTGAGTATCAAATTATCGATCTGATCTTGGGAGATATTACACCACTCAAAACGCAATGCTCTCCGAAGTTCCGGTAGACTTGTAGGAGGAGGTTGACGGGCTACAACTCGTCGGCCAAGCATGTCTCACACGTGCTCTGCTGGATTCAAGTCCGGTGAGAATGCTGGCCAGTCCATACGGGTGATATATCCTCCGATTGAAGGCATTCGCTTACGATGTTTGCACGGCGAGGACGGGCGTTGTCATCCATAAACACAAATTGTGCGCCCGTGGCGCCCCGAAACAAACGTACATGTTGTTCCAGAATGACGTCCCGATAGATTTGGCTTGGCTTGTCATGGTTCCAATTTGAACATGCAGGTCAGTTCTGGAACCCAGAATAATTCCACTCCAAACGAGCACTCCTGCACCACCGTAACGGTGTCGTTCAATGATGTTTTCTTGGTGGTAACGGGTACCTGGAGCTCTCCATATGAAAGTCCGGCGAGAATCAGACTGCAAGCTAAACCTGGACTCGTCGGAAAACATCACACAAGCCCACTGTTGCGGTGTCCACAATGCATGCTCTCTACTCCAGGCTAACCGCAGGCGACAGTGAGTTGCGGTAAGTGGAACGCATCTGACAGGTCTACGAGCACATAGACCAATCTGCCCTAAGCGTCTGTACATGGACTGCCCTGAAATTGTCGTACCAGTGGCTGAAGAGAGCTGACGAGACAGGTCTGAGGCTGTGCTCCGCCTTTTTCTTTTGGCAGTAACTGCCAAATACCGGTCCTCATTCGGCATTGTAACACTGGGGCGACCTGTGCTGTAACGTCTACTCACATTAACATCACTTTGAAATCGTTGCCAAAGCTGGAGATGACACTCTGTGCAATTCCAAGGTCGTCTGATACTTCCAGTTGGGTACGCCCACATTCCAGACGGCCGATAATTCTACCACGTAAAAAATCATCCAAATGCCTCCTTTGTGTCATAACTATTCGGTTATTGCACTGAAGTGCTTATAAAAGCGCCTGCGAACAATTTTACTTCTTTGCCTGTATTCCTTATATATCACTCTCTTACACTCTCGTCTTTGTGACGTACCATCGGTGTCATCTGGATACTTCCTGAAATTTGCATATGATTCTTGAAGATGTGTGTAGTGATTTTATAGGTGATATATTTATTTTAGAGTTCGATTTCCGCGTGACTCCTAATTATCCTTAATTTTTGGACATGAGTGTAAATAAACAATTTACCTTTCAAATTTTGAAACAAAGAAGAAAATTTTAATTTCTGACCGAAGTTCAGAAAGACAATTTAAAACTTTGGATAACCACCTTACTTCGGAATATAACAAAAGCATTTCGTGTTCACTGTCCGTCTCTTGGCATAAAACCATAAATAATCTTAAATTTTAAGCTTCGGCTTTTAATACAATTAACAATTTTCACAGCTTGATTCAAAACGATTTTCAGGTTTCGGGGTTGTTTTGGCTACTAAAGCTTTACGATGAATAGAACTTATGCAAATGCTATGTCGTCTAGAAATCATAATCAGAAAAAATTTCGTCTTGTGAGAAACATTAGATCCCAGAGGAAACTCTGGGTTCTAGACTATAGATGGTGCTTATATGCCGGAACTTCATTTGCTTTTGTGTTAGTTTTTTAGTTAGCAAAGTTATGTTGTATTACCAAAAGTGTAATTAAAAGTGACGATTAAAACTTTTTTTATATTAGAAAAGACATTAGTAAGTTAGAGTAGGTTATTCTCAATAAAACCTGGAATTAGATTAGGTAATGTAATAACGTTGCCATCGGTGCTCGAGGTCTGTGACAAACTTCAGGCACAAGTGAAGCCAATCATGATTATTCATCAAGTTTCGTTAACGAGCACAATCTGAATAAGACAAACATAGCAACATTATACAGAAGATGCATAAAGGAGTGGCACTGCTGTATAAAGGAGGTAGGTCTACTTTTTTTATTTGAAATAGCCTGAAATATTCTTTCAAATGGTTAAATGCAAATTCTGGATGGAGTTAATGGTACATTTATATACCATTCTTTGCACCAAAGCTGCTCCAGTTCCTTAGAGAGATACTGGGGATGAGAAAGAGATCTATTGTTTCTCAATGCAAAAGGCAGTGCTTCAGTGATGTTTAAATCTGGTTTTTATTGGTACCATGAAAAAGTGGAACTGCATCTTTCTCTTTTTGAAATAATGGTTTTGCTTTTCTAACTTTATGAACTGAGGTGTAAATACAGGGCGCTCCATAAGTCTCTAAATATATTAAAAATTCATAAAAATTGAAGAAATTGGTAGAAATGAACGCGGTTTGCGAAAACATTATTCTCGTGAAGAGGAATCGTTTTGGTAAAGAAATAAAAATAATAAAAATAGTTAAAATTTTCGCCGGTAGAGAATGTCGCATATATGCAGCAACAAGAAATGTGTAAATTAGAGATCTATAAATTGCAGGTTTTACGATTAACAGCTCATTTCTGATTTTTCTCCTACTTGCTTGCACATAAAGTTTTGTGATTCTGACATTAGTGGATAAGGTGTTATTAGTGATGTACCTCAGCCAAGAATCTGTGACTGAAGCTTTACGAAGGTTTCTGACACAGAAGGGATGGAAGGAAGGTTCAGGTCCAGTCACTCTTGCCGGACAGGTTCAGGTACAGTCACTCTTGCCGGACAGAGTTTACTCTGTTACGACGTTTCGAAGAAAAGGGAAGTTTGTATCATTGCCATCCTAGTGGTGCATTCTGAGGGGACAATCAACGAATGAAGCAAGTAGCATACGAGAAGAGGGACTGAAAAATGAAGAAGTTATCGGTATTCCGCATCCTTCACAGTATTTTAAAATTGTACCTCTACAAGTTGCAATCAGTCCAACAGCTTTTATCAAACGACAGAGCTAAGAGATATGAATTCACAAATTGGGCTTTGTCAAAAATCGATGGCAATAAACAATGATTTTTCAAAATCTTGTAGACAGATGAGGCTCATTTTTCATTGCACGGGACAATCAACACCCATAACTGTAGAATCTGTGTAAAGGAGAACCCACGCGCCTACACTGATTAGCCCCTACATTCACCGCGTTTAACTGTTTTGTGTGGTTTCACTGTCTCCATTATTGTGGGTCGTTTTTGTCACTCTTAATCATTCTGCTGAAATGGAACCCTCTGAAACCGCAGTATAATTAATCACAGCACGACGAAACCTCAACTGTGGTTTACTTCAGGAAAAGATGGTCTGAATTCCGATATTTGGTGTTACTCATGCAATCCCATACTGAGGCAAAGCATACTAAAATCAATTTATAAACTCATAATAGAGTTAAGACACAATAACACGCCGAACAAACACTAATTCAGAAGTCAAACAACAAAAATCAGCGTTATATTTACAATTTTGTAAATATAACGCTGAATTTTGTTGTTTGACTTCTGAATTCATAACAGAGTTCTTTTACTGATCATGATTTTCCGTTGATTCTCCTTTTCGTGTTCCTAGCAACGCTGTAGTCGCCGTTTGGTGATCATCTGCAACATAAGGGGGCTTACAGTAGTAGCTCTGCTTAAATATTTTGCTTACGTAGCTCTTTTCGCTTTTTTTGAGTCCAAATGCAGTATTAAGCTTAACAATCATTTTATCACAACAGTCTTAATCATCTTTAATGCTTTCCTGCATCTGTCAGAGAGTTAGAGTTCAATTTTTATTCCAGAGCTTTTTGGCTCATAAACCTTGTTTCGCGCCTAATTTTGTAATCTGTCATACTTTTATTCACACTACTTCTCGATACTTCCAATAACATTCTAACTCAAGCCACCAAAGTACCAATTAATCGGACGCTAAAATTTTACAACCTTTGAATCTCTGCCAGGCCATTCATTTTATCTCATTCATTTATCCTTCACTTTCAGTCCATTTTATCTATGATTTCTAATTTGAATTAATTCATGTAAACCTCACTTTAGAATGCACTTTAACACAATCTAAGATTATAAAATATGTCAGATCTTTTACGACGTACTCTAAACCAGAAGAAAACGTACTGGGACTTTTAATCTTAATTTTCCATTATTTGAACAACCTTTATGGTTTTAATAAGCTGTTACTTTGGAAGTGTATGAAACTATTATTTAGGAAAATTTTCTTCGCTTTTCAAAGCACCCATTAAAGCAAACTCATCTTCCATATAGTAGTATTTGGAACGCTCTTGTTAATTTTACTGAGAACGATTTAAAATTTTTTATCGGATGTGTCTTTAATGCGAAAAACAAGGTAAAAAAAATTACGGATTTCTATGAAAGTGTTTGTTAGTAACTTGCTGCATGAAAGCAGTTTATTTTGTAACATTTAATGCCTAGAAGAACGGGATTGTAATTAATTTCTTAATTGAATTCTGATTTCCACCGAATTGACATCCCTATCACGAATTAATCTCAATCAATAATTTTTCGAATTTTTAGAAGTCCATAATAATTTACTGAACACATTATACTCAAAATAGCATAAACCATTTTCCCGGAATATTTCAAAGGGCCAAAGGAAAAAATTTAATCGTTTAAACAATTGTAAACTAAACATCATTTACGCATCTTTTTTTTTTCTTTTCCAGAAATGCTTTTAAATACTCTGATGAAGCAAGCACTTTCAAAATTTGTATTCCTTCCTTGGGCTTTGACACTGGAACAATGGCGGTATATGCTTTTCTCTAACCAAATCACACCGCAAAATATGACAACGAAATGGTGGGAATTAAGGTAAAGTAATTAATTTTTTTTAACTTTGGGTGAATGTTTACTGAATATAATTATAGATTTATATTTCTCTAACTCTTGTGATTACGAGCTTATTCGTGTGCTTATAATAAATTTGCATATGCAGCAAATCCGATGTCCATGTCGAATATATTCTCATAGTAAAGGTGAACTGACTAAACGTGAATTGACTAAACGGAGTGACTAAACTCATAGTGAATTGACTAAACGAGGGCGGGGACTTAAGCGCTACGCTCAATTATTCGATGATTCTTATAACTCTGGCAAATACGAATCAAAGATTTAAAAAGCATTGAGAAGTTAATGTAAGTAAGCAATGCTATGTGAAACCAGAGTTCGAGTTTTTTTAGGTAATAGGTGGGTATTCTGTATGGTATGTATTTTTATGCCTGTCTGTGTAAATAAATGATAGCTGTGTTCTTCATAAGAAAATGAAAACGACTTGCCAATAAGATTACGTTAGCTGCAGAGAGTTAATCAGTCCAAATAGAAGGTTTATGTGAAAGCATGCTATTGAAAATATTTCATTATGAAATAAAGGAAAACGTAACTTCCATGCACACACATGAAGCAACATAAGGTTTGACTTCGGTAAACTATCATAAACAAAACATATCATGTTTGGTCATTCATAAAGCAGAAAAGAAAACACATCATATAAACAAGAAATGAAGGCCTACAGAAATATCCTCCTTGTTTAAAATGCATTATTAATAGGGTAGAATATGATTTCTAAAAGGCTTTTCAGGAAATCCCGAAGAACTTTTCACCATTTCCGTTCAGCGCCATAACCAAATCAATTTAGCACACAGCGGAAGATTGCGTTCTGCAGTATGCCTTCCAAAGCTAATCAGTGCATCTTTTATGGGATTTAAATTGATGTAGATCATTCGGTATCCACCAGTTTTAATCATATAAATGAAAATTAATTGTGCATTAAATGTACATACAAGTGCAGTCAAAAACAGGAAAAATCAATGTTAGCCTTCCCTGGATTCGATTGAACGCTCCAATTTCTGGCTGGGTAAGCTAATCACTTATGTCGCTAGCGGACATGTAGGGGTACGCGATAAATTATTATAGTATCCTTCACTTAAAGAATAAATGAGGATGTAACTTAAAGAATAATGAGCACAAATACCATTTTATTTCGGGAATCACAGTGGAGACTGATTAGAACTTCCGAAGAGGAAACAGCAAAAATGCTTTCTCCGAGATTCGAACAATGGATCTGGCAGTTGCTTGGTGAACGTTCTAACCAGTTACCACATTTCCCCAGACGCCATGAAAGCACGTCTGGGAAAATGTGATAAGTCCATGCAATATCTGCACGTAATTTTCAGGTATAAGCCCTCAACTTTGCGTGCTTAGCTTTTATAGTGTATATATACATATATACATCTTCGTATTTCTTCAACACTTCCCTGGCCAGATGTTTTCCCAATAGGGTAAAAATCTGGCGCGTTTGGGTTCTGATGTGTAGTGGGTCTCCGACCATTCGTGGATCATGCCGATCTAACTGGTCAGTTGGGACGTGTATGGCAAGCAGTCTGGTAAAAAGACATCCGTCAGCTCTACAAGTCAATATTCAGCCGGAAAACTGCTTGCACCTGAGCCAGAGGCGGGACCACGCATTATTAACTTTATTTGCTCTTGTACCTGCACTTCCTGATAAAACATTAAATTTCTATGATATTATTAGGGTTTCGTTTTCAATACATGTATATCACATCGATTTTCGTCCCATTTGAATAACTCCTTCTTAGTACGTCGCTATTTAGGCTACAGAATGTAATAAATTAATATGCTTACATATATGAGCAGACAAACATATATATATATGTTTGTCTCTGTGTTTATATATCTGTTGAACCATATGCATTTTTCACCAGAAATAACCAAAAATAGATAACTAGTTAAATAAAAATTATGAGATAAGCAGAAAACAAATGATAGGTGAAATTAGATAAATAACTAATAAAGTTAGTTTTCTTCATGCAAGCTACTTTGCGAATGTTAAATCAGAGGAAAGGTACTCCAAATATTTTCTAAAATTATCAATATTGATTTATGGACGAAGATAATACGGTTTCCTAGTACTATTCAGCTGTCTTCAGTTCAAACATGGCCAGTGAATTCTAAAACTTAATTTCTATTGCATCACTCTTGCGTGTTATATTCCAAACTATTAGTTTTTTCACTTACTGCATTATTTTTTTATTTAAGCATTCCTTCCGTGGAGAGGGAATTATTGGATATGTTTGCTTTTAACTACATTCGGTTATTGTTTATCTCAGTGGAATTTTCATAAATATTCTCCTGATGTTTCAAGACAGCGAAATCCTATGCTGTTTTTCTTATTATAAAACTGAAAGCAATTAAAGCTTTATGATTGTGCTTAGAGACCATTAAGATTTTAAGTACGGGAAGCGTAAAAATCAGCTAAGCCCTCACTGTGATTCGACCTAAGGGATCTTACAGTATGAACTGGGTACTTATACTACTAAATCACGCAAGTTGAAATGTAATAATTGATTATATTCTCTCCCTCTTAAAGGGCGACTGAGGAAAAGTACGACACTTAGTGAACTAAATCTAGAGTGTTAACGAATTATCGTCCGCCACGCTTTAGCTTTACTACCTCTCTGAAGTTATTGTGGTTTCTCGGAGCAGGAAATGTGAAAAGTCAGTTGTGGCCTCGCCGGGATTCGAATTATTAATCCATCAATATTAGCTCGACATGCGAACATTTACACCACGACGGCACGCAAGGGGGAATACGTCATTTCTTTATATCAACAGATGTCAGCGATGTAATTCATTTGAACAGAATTTTTTATTAATTTCTTTAGAATATTAATGTCGTAGAATACCTGTCTAAATATCCATCAGCACTAAAGAACATCATATTATAAAAAGAGGGAAATGTCTAATTAGTACAGATAGGGCTTTTTCACAGAAAGCGACTCGTTTATGCGAATGAGTAAGGTGCAAAAGATTCTTTTTTAAGCGAAGAGAGATTGGACACGAGGGGGTTGCAATATTTTTAAAAGCGTCAATTTAACTAAGTGATAAAATGTTGTGAAACTGACAAAGTGTGAAAGCTTTAGCATATCTTGGCGAAACACGCAGTCGGATAGTGAAACTGCTTCTCTCCAAACTGATAACAACTTTTCTTTGCCATAAATCTTCTTTTGAACAAGCCTTTCGGTATCTTTTCTTTTGAAAATACACCATGTTTGTTAGGTAAACCCTTCAGTGCACTCATTGTGAAAAATAAAACGCAAACAAATTAATTAAGTAATTAATCTTCGGAAGCCTCTTCTATTATCCTCAGATGTCAAGAGCAAATTCTGTAATTAAAAGATCAGCCTCCTTTATTTTCCGCTAACATTGCATTCTCCAGAAATCTTGTAGGCGTAAAATGATTACAGAATTTACATGAATAACATATTATGCTTCTCAGGGTTTCCAATTTAAAGAATTTACATTATTTTTAGAACGTGCTTTCAATATGTCGTATACACTACAATAATTAAGACACCTCAATGAACAATTACAATATTATTACAAAGAAAGAAATTTGCAAAAATCCCATACGCATCTCTTTAGGTTAGGTTATTTGAATATAGTAAACTACCCGAGGGCTACCTGCCTAATGGGAGGGATGCGATTGTGGAGGACTTTCGAAGAGAAATTGACTCTTAATTCATGTTACACGGGAAAGAATCCGTAAAAAACACCCAAGCAGCCAGCCCGTTTGACTAGTTTTGGGCTCAAATTGAACTATCAGGTGTGATTTTTCCAAAGCTGTTTCTACCCTCCCCCCAAATATGTTTTGAAGATCATCTTAAACTAACCATCCAAAATATAGAAATTAGAACAACTGACATCTGAAGATCGTTAAGTTTGATTATTTAGTTTTCATTTGAAAATGGAATTTTTCGAAATAGAAAATTCTCAGGACAGAGGCTTTTCATTCTTGATATATTATATTAGCTATACATATAACAACTTTAATGCTTTGAGTTTCATAACATGTCATTGATGAAGGGATTAACAGACAAGGATCATGTAAAAGGAAGATGTATGTATGTGTATGAGATTATTGCAAAGCCTCGAGGGCTATCTGCCTAAACGAAGGGATGCCTTCGCGGAGGACTTTCTAAGGGAAATTGTCTCGTATACACGTTACACATGGGGAAAGGAGGCACCAAAACGCCCATGCATCCAGCCCGTTCGCGGATTTCGAACCTCGAACCGAAGTACCAGTGCTCAGCGACTTTACCGCTCGGCCGCTGGTTGGCCGTAAAAGGAAGATGAAAGTTGAGGTAATGATTAAGAGAAGAAGCATGTTTTGCCCACCATCGGCCGAGCGGCAAAATCGGTGGACATTAGTAGCTTGACTCGGCCTTAATTCTACTTGTAGTTCGGTCCTGGGTTCGAATCTCAGCAAAGGGGTAGCTGAATGGGCATTTTTGTAGTTTCTCCATGTGTACCGTGTATACGAGCTAGTTTCCCTTAGAACGTCCCTCCACGAAGGCATCCCTCCCCTTAGGCAGATAGTCCTCTAGGCTTTGCCGTAATTAAATAATTAAATAACCATTCCTGGCGAATAAGCCTGGCTGCATGACAGCCTGCAAACTTTTGCTCGTGTGTAACGTGAATACAAGAAAGTTTACTTTCAAAGGTCTTTCATGAAGACACTCCTTTCTTTCTTGTGCGTCTTGCCATAATCTAAATAATAAATTATTCTCACGTTTATATACTTAGGTAATTATACGTTTTCTATTTTCTATGGTTAAACAAGCCATATCTGTAACACTATCAGACAGGCGTTTTATCTTGAAAGGTAACTGTATAAAAGAAATACATTTTATTATTTTTATTTCTAGCTTTCGTATTTATATTTCTTTGTTTCTACGGCTTATTTTATCGTAACCTTATCAAATAGCGGACTTATTTTGAAAAGTAAGTAAAAA